GTTGTAGCACAAAAGGTGTAGTTATAGCTAAGCCATTCACAAAACCATTCCCTTCCCCCTCTTCATCTCTCCTCTTCCAAACACATTTAATTTTTAGGATGGTGCAGCTGGGAGCAAGAGAGAAAGAGAGAGAGGAAATGAGATGAGAAATACTGAAGGAGAGAATGTGCAGCTCCCCTTTACCCTCTAACAAAATCCGATCCCCACTTTAATGAATGCGTTTTCATGTCTGGTCCTGTCTGCCAATCCTTCCAGACGGCACCAAGGTGCTTCAAGACAAGGCAGCAGGTCCTTGTAGAGCATCAAGGGCTCAGTCTGAGCCTGGAGGGTCTTGTTGTGGCCGATTCCACCTAATCCTGTTGATTAATTTAACTCCAGGGCTAAGAGGCGCCCAGAAGCTGTGAATGGAGGTGGAGGGGAGAAAGGAGGAGGGGGAGGAAGGGAACTAGGGGAGTGAAGAGAATGGGGAGAAGGAGGACACATCCAGCCCATAATTAGGGAGGGTTTTTCTTGTTCCTTTCCTCGAGTGCCAGTCTATTTCTGTTCCTTTCAAACCCCTGCAAAGAGCTCTGCCCAGCTCTTGCTAATTGTACCCCAACCTGAATCAGCAGAATTATTCAGGAATGTGAGTTTGTGGGCCATAATTTACACATTTCCCCATGCTAGAATGGGTCCCAGGACAAGCCCAGGCTTATATTTGTCACCTTTCCTATGCCATCCTCCCCATGCACCTGCGCACGTGCCATGGCTGTACTCATTTCCATGGGGAGAAAGAACCAGTTTCAGCAGTTTTCCCCAGCTCGTCCTCCCTGAAGACGTGGGGCTTGACACTGGTGCATGCAAACCTTCAGCAAGTACCATCTCTTCCCCCATCACGAGCTGTGTTGGATCTCTGCCCCAGGAAAGTACCTGGGCATTTGAATAGCACCCTCTGAGCAGAAGGGAGAGCTTATGAATTTTCACACTGGCAATCTTTTTCATTCCCATAATGAAACCTATGTCTTTTTATTTCTAAGAGCGTTGCAAAGCAAAGAGATTTGAGCAGTTTGCACTTTTATTTCTGAGCTACAGAGCACTTAGGCTAAATAATAAAGATGGAATTGCTGTAAAAACAAAACTAGAGGGATCAGTGTGTGTGTCCTCTAATAACACTCACTTTTGTCTTAGTTTTTCCTTTTCTCTGACTTGTCCTCCCGTGAGATTTTTCCCT